AAGGACTTGTGTCGCTTAAGTTTCGTCGGAACGAAGTTACGGAAAATCAATTAACAAACGGAGACGTAACAATATCATAAGCTATTATTTCTTGTCATGAGACAGACTTAGTATTGTTAAAACCTAACATTATATTATTTTATATAATCGTGTATTTTAATTAATAATTATAAATCTGAAGAATGAATATTATTTTCAGTGTACATTGTCATATTTAATTCTCTTTTTATGATGCTGTCTTCACAACAACTCCATCCTTTACGATTAATTAAGCTCAAATCTAGGACTAGTGAAAGTAAAACAAAAATTATACAAGTGTTTTGGAAAATTTTTGAAGTGTTAACATTAGTGCTCAGCTATGTAATAAGATCCAATGTATATTTGTGTGTCACATAGCTCCTCCTAAACTGTTGGTCGCACCATATTCTAGATGGTACCAGACGAAGGTAAAATTTTTCACTTCATCCTTTGTGGAACCTGGAGATTCCCCGAAAACCCCTTCTCCTAAACTGCTGGACTCACCAACTTCTAAATGTTGGCAAAATAATCGTCTCGGCCCTGAGGTTTGTATAAAAGTAAAACTTTCCCCAAATCCCTTAGGGAACCCTGGTATTTTGCAAAAACACTTTTATGGGGATTCCCCGAAAGCAGACCCCAGTATTTGGCATTGATTTGCATTAGAGCACGTAAATAAGTAAGCCTAGTAATCAACATTCGTAACTTGGTTAACTTGAAAAATAACGACTATTAAACTGAAAAAGTGCAAAATAGTAGTTCAAGCATTAATTTGCATTATAGTAGCTCTGTAAATGCGGACCAGAGGCTCACGAGTTCGCTAGTTTATTGATAAGTTTTAAAAATTCATTATTCTTACGATATACATGTTTTCAGTAACCAACTTTACAAAATACAGTTTGTTCTAATGAAGTGTTGTAAACTAAATTTTCAATGATATAAATCAGTTGTTTGCTAGGAAGAGCAGCTGATCATGATGATGACGCTTGATCTAGAAAGTTCATAAATATTGTTACGTCTCCGTTCGTTAATTGATTTTCCGTAAAATTCGTACCGACGAAACTATAGCGATACAAGTCCTTTCTCAAATAAAACTGGT